GAATATAACACTTCATAATAAGTTAAGTTAGAATATTACAAGTCAAATATCCATATATATTATTGCGCTTAATGTTACACCTTTATCGTTTCTTTCACATTCGGAAATGAGCTATGTATTATTATTTTCTTAATTTTAGTATAACAAACATGTTTTGATATTGAATGAGGCATCTGTTATGTTATCTACATCAAAACATATACCATCTTTTATTAAAAAAAAACTAGAAAATTCACGTTAAGTACCATAAACTCACATTATTCAACACGGTTTTGCTTTAATTGGCCATTCTTGTTAACTGATATTGCAGGCAAATCTAATATATACAATACAGATATGAGAAAACATTCACATTACATACCATACATTAGAATAATTCATAAACTTGAGTATATATATATATTATTATAAGTATATATATATATATATTAAAGTACTTAACAACATACTACATATGATATCATAAGCCTAAACTACAAAATTTTAATATTAATCAGCATCATTTCACTCTACTAATAAAGTATGACATGAATTGTTCCTTGGATTATACATAAGTTATGATAAAAGAAAACTTAGAATATTAGAATATTATACATAAAAAAATTAATTTTACACCATAAAGTAAGACCCATATGAGTACATGAATTAGCTTTATTATACATAAAAAAAAATTAATTTACACCCTAAAGTAAGACCAATATATGAGTACATGAATTAGCTTTGTCTTATCAAATTAGGAAGTAAAGTCTGATTGATCAGTAAAAACAAATCTAAACCAAATTATGAACTAAATATGCTTATCAAATTAGAATACCAAGAATATTAACTCATCAAACACACTTTTACTAAATTATTTTTACAAGATCATCTAATTACTCAAACAAAATAACACCTGGAATCAAATTAGGAAGTAACATTTGACTTACAAAGTCAGAATACCTAGAATATCAAGTTATCAAAAACTATCATACTAAATTTTTACTACATCATCAAATTAATCAAACAAAATAACTTTTGGAATCAAATTAAGAAACAACATTGATTTGATATAAACTCATAATATCTAGAATATCAATTTATCAAACACTATTACTCATTTTTACTAGATCGTCTAACAAAATAAAAAAAACTAACTTCAAAAATCAAATCATATCCTAAATACCTGAAATATTATTTAGATTCAAAGCTGAATCAGATCACATTGGCGTATTTCTGATGATATCGACGATATAAAACCCGAATCAGAGTCATGAGATTCAAAATCAGATCATTATCAGCTATCTAGGGTTTTAGCTGTAGAATCGGAATCAGAATGTGTTGAGAAGTCGTTCCTGATGATAGATGTTGGGTAAGAAAGCTAGAAAACGAAGTATTTTAGTCGGATTCAAGGTAGATCAGTACGATTCAGATTTAGGGTTTT